CAAAGAAACTGAAAACACCGATTCAAAGAGATATAGGCACCTTTATGTTTACTGTCAGTTTTCTTTATAGCCAAGATCCGGAAGCAACCTGAGTGTCCAATGATAGAAGAAGGGATAAAGAAGATGTGGTACACATACACAATGGAATATTACTCAGCCATAAAACAGAATACAATCTTGTCATTTGCAACAACATGGATGGACAAAAAGGGTATAATGCTAAGTGAAATGAGACAGAGAAAGATAAATACCGTACTATTTCACTTATATGTGGAATACGATAAACAAAACAAACCAAAACAACCAGAAACAGACTCATAGATACAAGAAACCAGCTGTAGGTTACCACATTAGGGAGCAGTTCCAAAGGCAGTAGAAATAGAAAGGGATTAAGAGGCACAAACTTCCAGTTAAAACACAAGCAAGTCATGGGGATGTAATGTAAAGCCTAGGGAATATGGTCAATAATACTGTAATAACTTTGTATGGTACAGATGATAACTAGACTCACCGTGGTCATTTCCTAACATACAAAACTATCGAATCACTATGATGTGCACCTGAAACTAATAGGATATTGTATGCCAACTATACCTCAATCTTAAAAACAAATATTGAGTTATAAACAGAAAAGCAGTGCATGGGGCATCTGGGTGGCTCAGTCGATTGAGGATATGACTTCAGCTCAGGTCATGATCTCGTGGTTCATGAGCTTGAGCCCTGCTTCGGTGCTGTGTTGACAGCTCAGAGTCTGGAGCCTGCTTCAGATTCTGTGTCTCCCTCTCTCGGGCCCTCCCCTTCTCACACTCTGTGTCTGTCTCTCAAAAATAAACATTAAAATATTTTTTAATTAAAAAAAAAAAGAAAAGCAGTGCAAATCATACATAGGTCAAAATTAATATTTGAAAAATGCAACAAAATAGGCAAACTACTAGTTAATCTAGAATTACAAACAAAAATTATGAAATAACAAAGGGAAAAATATCTACTGGAACAGAGGAAGTTAAAATCACTTATAAGAGATTATTTATATATCTCTTTGCTAATCCATTTAAAATTCTAGAAGAAATGAATAATTTCCTCATAAAATATAACAAAATCACTCCCAGTAAAACAAGGAGTTTAAGTAGACCAATCACCAGAGAAAAAAGTAGTTACCAAAGATTTTTCTCTCCCATGCATGTGTGCACATGCACACACTCCTCTTCCTTATACAGGCCACAAGTTTGATAGAATTTCCCGAATTTCCCGAGGGAATTCTATCGAATCATCAAAGACCAGAAACAAGGGCTGAGAGAAAGACAACAAACTTCTAAATATTTTTATAAATCAAGAATAAAAGTAATACCTAAACATAAAAAGGATCACATATCCTTTTATGGAAAAGTACAGGAAGACTCAGGGTCACGTCGTTTATCGTGGCAACCAAACTTCAAACCAAAAAACACCCGTTAAAAGAACAGCACGTGAGTCAACTGTCCTACAATCACCAGTAGAGGAAATGAACAAATGAGAAATCCACATAACAGCATAGGTAGGTTTCAAAAACAATAAGCAAATGAAAATATTGTGGAAGGATACAAATGATTATTTCCCTTTATAAAAAGTTTGAGAAGAGACATAATTAAACAGTATGCTGTTTAGGGATACAGACTGGGAGGAAGGAGTTACATCAGCTGGACTGGGACCTCTGTGCTCCTTCTATAGAGCAATGAGTCTGGGGAAAGCGAGAAGGCAAGGGATGCTTCTAATCTTTTGTAAGTATGCTAATAACCAGGATACCTAATAAACAGCCTAATGATATAGGATAAAATGAGAGCTCTTGTTTCTGGAATTGCTCTTGCCAGGATGGGACTGGCTGGGGATCACTTGATTAAGGATTACCTATAGTAAATAAATGCAGAATGTATAGGCTCATGAACCATGATTCTCTAGGCTACATAGTAGACCGAATATTACTCGCTGGGCAGGGGGGGACCTGTGATCCTCACTTGGAGACCTTGCCTATTTTCTGGGTCAGAGAGCACATGTCTGATCCATCAGGAAAAGACCTGGGCGTCCAGGGATGACCCAGACCCCTCACCCCTGCTTCCTCTACACCTCTATAGTCTGTATTCCTTAAATTATTTGCATAGCTGGATTAGTACAGCTAGATATCTGTCAGCTCTGGTTTAATAACCTGATCCTTTGTGTTACCTCAGTTATTTATTACAGGGTAAGTGCTTTTCAGGAAAAAGTATCAAGAAAACAAAACAGTAGTGCCAGGGGTTAGTGGGATGACACCAGGAAGGGCTACAAAGGATACTTCCAAGTTACTGATAATGTTCTCGTTCTTAAACACATGAGTGTATCAATCAGGATTCTCCAGAGAAACAGAATAAATAGGATATGCATGGAGACTTCCTATAAACAATTGGCTTGCATGATTGTGGAGGCTGAGAAGACCCAAGATCTGCAGTTTGAAGGCCTGAGAACCAATGATGTTAGTTTCAGATGGAGTTCAAAGGTAGTGGCCACCTATGTCTCAGCTCATGACCAGGAGGCAGAGAGAATTTGTTCAGCAGATAGGATGAGGCCTGCCCACACTGGCGAAGGGCAATCTTCTTTACTTCGTCTACCAACTTGAATATTAATCTCATCCAGAAACTCCCTCACAGAATACCGGAATAATACAGAACCAAATATCTGAACACCTTGTATCCTAGTCAACTTGACACAGAAAATTAACCATCACAAGGGGTGCTTGTTTTATTGTTCTTTGAATAACAGGTATATACTATGTTCATGAATGATACAAATTTAATGCTATAAGTTTTAAGCAAATGCAATTTGACAAAAGGAAGAGAGTGAATACAGAACAATTTCCAAAAAGGTTGGCATGAAGAAGAGGGAGATGGGGAGGTAGCTTGACCGTTAGGTCAGAAGTGGGAAGATATTATATGGGGTGTGACCCATATATATAATGGGGAAAATATATGAACATTTATATTCAAAAATGATCTAGTATCCAGAATATATCAAGAATTCCTACTACCCATGAGTATAAAAACAACTCAATTTAAAAACGGCCAAAGGATGGGGGCAGAAGGGTGGCTCAGTTGGTTAAATGTCTGACTCTTGATTTTGGCTCAGCTCATGACCTCAGGGTCATGAGATCGAGTCCCAGGTTGGGCTTCAAGCTGGGCAGGGAGTCTGCGTAAGATTCCCTCTCTCTCCCGCTGCCCCTCCCCTGCTCTCATGAGGTCTCTTTCTCTCTATAAAACAAAAACAAAAAGCAAACAAACTTTAAAAATGGGAAAAAGATGTGAAATAGACATTTCTCCACAGAAAATATGAAAATGGCCAGTAGGCACATGGAAAGATGCTCAATGTCATTAATCCTTGGGGAAATGTAAATCATGACCAAAATGTGTACCACTGCACTGGCCACTGAGATGGCTGTAATCTTTTGAAAAGGACAATAATAAGCATTGAGGAGGATGAAGAGAAATTGGAACCCTCATTACACTGCCAGAAACAAAGTAAAATGGTGCAGCCTCTGTGGAAAAACAGTGTGGCAGTTCCTTAAATAGCTAAGCTTTCCTGTTCAGTCTCACACCAAAGCAGAATTAGATCTCTGGATTCTGCCCCCTTCTGGCCATGGAAGGAAACTGGGACAGTGAGGATCAACACCAAGGAATGCGATTTGCTACTCACAAAGTGTGTTCTAACCTTTGATCAGAGTCCAGACAATAGTCACAGCAGATAAGTAACTTTAATAAAGGCGCATGTGACCTAAAACTAACCCACAGCGAACAATCTGAACTCAGGTCAACAAGCCATAAAGCCATGATGTATAACCCAAAGCAAGGCCACCTTTGTTGAAGTGTGAATGGTGTTCTTGCACAAGACTCCGCGCTTATACTCTGCAGGGCTCTGTGCTTGGTTTCATGCTCTTTTACCAACTTGAGATTCTTACTAATTCCATCTTTAAACTTGTTTTATAAGTGATGTCCAGTGGGACAATGGAGCATGTGCATGAATAGGAGAAATGGATGCAATACGTGTGTCTGCATTCCTTGCACCCATGAGCCTAGAGTGATGGTAGGTGCACAGTACGTGAGAATTCAGGGAGACTCGAACCTAGTACGAGGGAAGTGTGTTTCCTTGTAACTACGCAGAGGAACTGAGAGCCCTGGAGGCCTTCTGTGCAAGCCAGAGCTGGCTTTGAATGCACAGAGATGGCAACCCAAGGGTCCTATAAGATCCTGTCTTACCCGGGTTATTCGGCTATACTAGCCAACCACGTATGCTGAGATGACATAGAAAAAAAAAAAATGGAAAGATATGGTGGCCCATGGTTCCTTTTCCTTTCAGCCCTCCGTACATACCAGTAAAGTGAAGGTAGAATGTTCATAAAATGAACATATACCAAGAAGTGAAGTAAAAATAGCTGAGTTCATCTTAGTGCTTCCACTGTTCCAGCAGCCATATAGGAAGGCGCTACAAAATGGAAACTATATGATTCTGCATAGGAGTTAAATGCTCTTCTATTTACATTTTAAACTGGCACTCACTGCACAATATAAAGAAGAACAGTAAACTCTACGCTAATACTTAAAGAATTTAATTTTTATGTCCTTACAGTGGCATTAAATAGCAAATAAAACCCCATAATGGGCCAGGAGAGACTGCAGAAGGAAAGGGAAAGAAAGGGAACAGCTGTGTCGTATCTTTAACTGTAAGCAAGGGACCACATGTCTCCTCCCTCAGGAGTTCTCACATCTGAGCGAACCCCAGAGGCACCCGGGGGCTGGTGCAACAAGGACTGCTGGGCCTATTTTGGACTCTGTGATTCCAGAGGCCTGGGGTGGGGCCCCAGAACCTGTATTTTGTGAAGCTCCCAGGTGTTGTGTATGTTGCTACGCCACACTCAGAACCAGGGGTCTAGAATATGTTTCCCTTAGCCTCTGACGTGAGTCCCAGCTATACGATGCCATACGAGAGGAGTGTGCTCTTACCTCATAAATGTTCAATTGCTCCACCAGGTCCAGGTCCGTCCCTTTTTTGTTCAAGTGCCGCTGGGACACAGCCGCAATGCCCAGCTCCTCCAGGCAGTCCACCACGTCGTAGAAGCTGTCTTGGTCTGGCAATCCGGACAGTGTCTGGATGAAGAAAGAACAGGACACGGACATGTCTTAGGGGACTGACTCAAGACTCTCAAGGCTTTTTTTGCAGGGTGGCCAGTGGCCAGGATTACAAAACAAGACAGATGACAAAACCATTTGAGAAAAAATCCTCTCTTAGTGTGGTAGGCAGAATGCACTCCAAGAGCCCACTCCCTGGTATACAGATACTGTAATATCCCCTTCCCGTGAGCCTCAGCAGGGCACTTCCAGGATTAAATTACATTATATTGCAAAAGTGAAGGGATTTTACAGATATCATTCAGGTCTCAGCTGACTTTGAGTTCAAGGGAAAATTAACCTGGATGGGTGGGCCCGATCTAATCAGGTGGGCTTTTTAAAAGCAGGTTTAGACATTTCTGGAACTCAGAGACTAGGAGAGAGAGATTATCCTGCGGCCCCGAAGAAGGCAGCAAACCACCATGAGTTCTCCAGCTGCAAGGAAATGAGCTTTGCCAACAACCACAAAAGCTTGGAAGAGGATCCCGAGCCTCAGACCAGACTCCAGTCCTGGTCGACACCTTGACTACAGCTTTGTGAGATTCTGCGCAGAGGACCCAGCGAGGCGGTGCCTGAAGCGTGTCCCATGGAAACTGTGAGCTGATAAGTCTGTGTTGTTTCAAGCTGCTAAATTTGTGGTAATTTGTTACCTAACATGCTCAGTGATTAGAAACTCCTGTGACGATCAATCTACCAACAGCTGGAGTTACAGCAATTTAATGATTCCTTTTTCTTTCGGTTTGGTAGGCCTTCCCCTTGGTCTATGAATTTTAGGAAAACATGAGAAATTTCAAAACAGCAACGAAGAGACAAAAAGATAACACACGACGGGGGTGGGGTGGGGGGATGCTGACTTCTCTTTGAATTCTGTGTCTCTTAAAAGAAGGATGATCTCTCAGACCAGGCTTCTGCTCTGAACTGGAGGGACCCTCGAGGTGATTTACTGCAAGTCCTTATCTTAAGAATAGGGAGATGAGGGCTGGGGAGGAAAGGGACTTGCCTGAGGGAACAAGACGTTCTTGCCAACCTGGGGCAAAAGCCTAGTCTCTCCTCACACCGCCAGACTTCTACACAAAATATTCTGGCCTGGAATTTCAAATTCAACCAGTCTTTACTCCCTCTTTCATTTCCAAGAACCCCACGGATAGATTTCAAAATTATTCTGAACTCTTGGAACAGAAAAGACCGACACGGTCTTAAGGACGTATCACAGCACCGACTTCTCCAACACTTCTGTTTGGGGGCTGTTAATATTGGAAAGAATGTCTCTATTCAGAACACTAATAATGATGTGTTCCTTTCTATGCTGAGCCAAGAGGACACAGCTCGGTGCTGGTGAGATCAGAAGTGAATGAACAATAACTGGGATGGGAAAGCTTAATCAATCAGGGGCCTCAGCAAGGACCCACAACAGGCGGCTGGGAACCAGTAAGACTCCGTAACAAACAGGTGCTCCCAGGCGGCCGGCCAAGTGTGAAAGCACACGCCAGCGCCTGCAGGTGCCAGGGGAGGTGGTGACTCTGCCTCAGCAGGTAACCACAGTCCCCTGAGCTGTCCCCGGCTCCTGGCCCCTGATGTGAACTAAAAAAAACTATTCAGCATTCAAAGAATCCTATCATCAGAACATTCCATCTTTTGGTTTTAGTGAAAACCCTTGAACTTGTTAAAAGATGAGGAAATGGAAATGGGGCCCAAGGCCAGGGCAGGGCTGGTGATCGGAGGTCCCTGACTGCAAACCCCAGAATTGCAATTTGAGGAACCCGGTGAGCTGACATTTAGTGTCCGATTGACAACTTCCGACTCAACAGTGGGCGGGCCACGACGAGGCAGACAGAGTCTTCCTCACCTCTCAGTTCCCTTCCCTTTTTCCCCTGAGAGTCAACTGAAGTTCTTACAGAATTTAACCCAGAGGGTTAAATTCCTGGACCTAATTCCCGTGGCCTTAGCAAGCCCAACCATGTTGGGGGTGGGGAGGGGGAACTGCTAAATAATTAAACAATTAGGTCCATAGAACTGAACAGACTCAGGGAGACTTGCCCAAAATAGGTCCGGAAGTGAGGGTATTGAGAGGTCATTTGTCATTTCTACTGTGAAAATTTGGGCTGGAGCCAAGCCCACGTACCAGCCCCTTCCACGTGTGGCTTCAGGGCATAGGTGGCCTTTTGCCACAAACATGGCTTCTTTTCTCTACTTGCAGAGGAAGAGGACATTCACCTATTTTCAGCTGATTCTCTAAGATCTCTGCAAACTGTGCCATGCACCCCCCACTCCACAGCCCCTGTCCTCTCCCAGTTCTACCCTGACACCTCACCTCTGAGTTTACCTCCTTCTGGCAAACGTAGCAGCTCTGTCAGAGAAGTCTGTGAGACAAATGTCTCTGGATGCCTTTACTTTCTGATTACACTCATGACTCCCTTTCCTGTTTTCTCTCAGATTTTGTCTTGCCAGGGCTTGTGACGCATCAGTCTTCATAGGCATCTCTCACAAGGAGAAAGTTCTGTCCTAAAGGGCATTTTATTGTTCTCTCCTGGGTTCTCCACTGACTGCATCAAATCTTTTTTTTTTTTTTAAACAATGTTTAATGTTTATTTATTTTTGAGAAAGAGAGAGATACAGAGCACAAGCAAGGGAGGGGCAGAAAGAGAGGGAGACACAGAATCTGAAGCAGGCTCCAGGCTCTGAGCTGTCAGCACAGAGCCCGATGCAGGGCTCGAACCCACAAACCATGAGATCATGACCTGAGCCGAAGTCGGACACTTAACCAACTTAGCCACCCAGGCGCCCCCAAATGTTTCTTATAGGATAAAACCAGTGTGGCAAATGCCTGCACACATTTTCTTTTTTGTTTTTAATGTTTATTTTCGAGAGAGAGAGAGAAACAGAACTTGAGGGGGGAAGGCAGAGAGAGAGGGAGACACAGAATCTGAAGTAGGCTCCAGGCTCTGACCTGTCAGCACCAAGCCTGACATGGGGCATGACCTGAGCTGAAGTCGGACGCTTAACCAACTGAACCACCCAGGCGTCCCGTGCACAGAAATTTTCAAAACAACATTATTTGTGAAATCCAAAAGCTACAAAAACCCAAATCTCCTTCAACGGGAGAATAAGTTGCGGTGTGTCTATATCATAGAATACTATGCAGCAGCAGGAAGGGCCAACCATTAATACACTTTTTTTTTTTTTAATTTCTAGGAGAGAGAGAGAGACAGCATAAGCAGTGGAGGGTCAGAGAGAGAGGGAGATACAGACTCTGAAACAGGCTCCAGGCTCTGAGCTGGCAGTCAGCACAGAGCCAGACGCGGGGCTCGAACCCACGCACTGCGAGATGATGACCTAAGCAAAAGTCGGACGCTTAACCGACTAAGCCACCCAGGCGCCCCCATTAATACACTTTTGATCACAGGTAAATCTGAGAGAAGCCAGCCTCAAAGGGTTCTATCCTCTATGATTCCATTTGACATTTTGGAAATGACAAAACTATAGGGACAGGGAATGATTGTCAGGGGTCAGAAGAGGGAATCAGGATATCACTATAAAGGATAACAGGAGGGAGATTTGGGGGAAGATGGAAATGTTCTACATCCTAACTGTGAAGGTTATCCATCACCATACAAGTGTTAAAACTTACAGAGCTAAATTTTCAGTAAGTTTATGGCATGGTAATTAACAATAAATGAAATGTAAAGATAAAGGCAAATACTCAGCATGAATCCAGCCCTTCCCTGAAAGCTTCAAGCCAGCCCCACAATAACACCTCTTGTCCCTCATTCCCCCTCATCCACCTCTTCCTATTCCACAAGGTGGCCAATAGCTGAGCCCCTCAAAGTGGGGGATTCCTACTGAGGGGGTTTTAGCGGGATCGAGAGAGGGCATTACAGAGCTTCAGCTGGCAGGATGAGAAGGGGTTACTTTTTTTTTTTTTTAATGTTTTATTTATTTTTGAGAGATAGAGACAGCATGAGCGGGGGAGAGTCAAAGAGAGAGGGAGACACAGAATCTGAAACAGCCTCCAAGATCTGAGCTGGCTGTCAGCACAGAGCCCGACGCGGGGCTCGAACCCACGAACTGTGAGATCATGACCTGAGCTGAAGTCAGACACTCAACAGACTGAGCCACGCAGGCACCCCAAGAAGGGGTTACTTTCTGATGCTCCTTCACATCTGACAACATGGAGCCAGGGGTCTGAACAAGATTAGGGTGAGGGGCAATCAGCCTGGATCTTGGAAATCCCCCACTAAGGTCTCTGATTAAGAAAGAGAGCAAGTGTCAGTCTCAGAACCATGAGCAGCTAAAATTTAGTTCCCCTGTTTTGTCACAAAAATGTTCATGTTTTGAATTCCACGTTGTTAGTCCATCTTTTATTTGGTTGAAAGAAAACTTAGAAAAGCAATATAGTAATTTCCCAGATTTCAGAGCCTGAATTTTTTCCAGACCCATAGTAACATTTCAATTTATTTTGTTTGTTTGTTTGGGATCTCAGAAGACTTTACTCACTGGGGCAATAAACGTGACTAAAATTCAGCAAAAGAAAACAAACCCAATGTGGGTGCCAGTGGTTTATTGACCTCTTTTGAGGAAAGGATGCCATTCGGAGCAACTGTCCATAGGACGTTCCTCCACATCCCCTGAGCCAGAACTAACAAAAGAGGAGACAGACCTGCCAGAAGAGAAAGAGTAAGCGAGGAATTCCTGGACATTAAATGCCATCTGATGCCAAGGAGAATGTGACAGGGGCTGGGTCCTCGCCAGTGCCGTCAGCAGAATGGCCACACCCGCCCCCGCTTTTAGGACCTTCAAACCACCCAAGCGTGGCCTCCGCCAATAGGATGGGTAGCATTACAATGGAAACACCAGGCAAGAGTGAACATTCCATTTTTACTGAGGTCCACATTTTCTAAAACAATGTTACTGACTGAAAAGGACAGGAAATAGATGACCCTGATCTTACAAACAAACAAACAAACAACAAAACCCCAGAAATTGCATGGTAAAGTAAACCCACAAATACATTTGAAAACATAAACAGAGTTCTTAGCATTATCCTACAGAAAAAGATGCCCATTCCCCACCAGAACCTTAACTAGAATTTCCTGGGTCCTTGTCAACAAAACGGCATTTCATTAAAAAGCAATCCCTGCCAATGTGACCCAGGGGGTAATGTCTGTTTTACTATGTATCTCTTTTCATCTTAATAGATTTAATGTCCTTCAGTTTTCAACTAGGTTCTTGATATATTGGTGATAGTATAATCTTCTGCCCTATTTTTTTGCAAACCATTTCCCAATGTACTGCTTCCCCTTAGCTTTTATTTGTGGTTTTCATTTTACAAGTAAGACTTTTTATAACTTAATGCAGTGGCATACTTAAAAGCCCTTCCCTTTGGAATCTTTTTGACAGGTTTGATTATTAAAATAATCTTCATCTACCAGAAACAAACTAATCATCACCTCTACTTCTTTTTCTACTGTTTAATGTGTTACATTCAACTCTTTAATCGGTCTGGAGTTCATTTCGGTATTGGTCAAAGTATTTATTTCCATTTAGCACACCTCCTTCCCAGTTATGAATGAGGCTAACCCATCCCCATTGATTTCAACCCTAGGGTAAGTTGCTCTGTGGAGTGAGGTCTGCTTCATCTGGCAGCCAAGGAAAGAGCCAGGACCACATTGTTTTAATCTTTAGAGTACACGACATTTTAATATCTAGTAGAAATTACTTCTCCTAATGCTTTCGACTAATATGTCCCCAGTTCACCAGGGGAAATGTTTCTCCAGTTATATTTCATGAAAGAGATTCTGAGTCTCTTCTCTGAAGAACCATCCATCCCCACCGCTGGTGCTATAGGCCTGCATCCACCAGCTTGGGGAGAGAAGGCAGGCTCATGGGATGGTGGGTGGGTGGGATTCCTGGGGTCCAGGGTAGAGCAATCTGCAGGAGATACCCCATGTCCAACACACACACACCAACTGCAGTTACAAGGAGGAAGGAACTGGAGTCCTGAGGGTGGGCTCTCCCAGGGCAGTGTGGGGTCAGCACCATCTCTAGGGATGGATGCTGAAGACTGCTACTGTGCTGCCGGGAGGTGACCAGGGAGGTGACCAGGAAGGACACGTTGGGAGGGAGGAGAGCATAAGGGTGCCGTCACCTTCATGAAAAGAGAATGAGACCCACCCCCAGCAGTCAGAATTCAATCAGTAGGGGAACAAGAGTGTCTTCATTTCTCCCAGACCATAAACTGTTTTCTTAGGGAAAAACTGGCTAATTTATATTCTTGAGGAAAAATGTTTTTAAGGGGACATCCTGAGAGGAAAAGTGGTCATAGAATTCCCACTGTCCTCTTTCTGGTTTCGTTACAAAGACCAAAGCAGAGAGAGCACGCAGACGCTCCCAGGCCTTCACACACATGTGCACCAGCATGCTTACAGACACACCCTATGGGGGCAGAAAGGGTTTTCTCCTGCAAAGAGGAGCACCGTAGCCATGGCTCCTGTCTCCGTGATAGGGGTCTTTGCTCAGGGGGCAAATGCTAGATTTTCACATCATATTAGTTCCCCGGGGCTGCTCTACCAACATACCACAAACTAGGAGCTTAAAATAGAAATGTATTCTCTCACAGTTTGAGAGACTGGAAGTCTGACATGTAAGTGTCAGCAGAGCTCTAGAGGATGATCTTTCCTTGCATCATCCTTGGCATTCCTTGCTAATAGATGTATTCTCCAGTCTGACTGTTTTCACGTGGCTGTCTTCCTCACATACATGTCCAGGTGTCATACACATGTGTGTCGCTTTTCCTCTTCTTCTAAGGAAACCAATCATATGGGATTAGAGTCCACCTTAATGACCTCATCTTACCTTGATTACATCTGCAAAGACCCTATTTCCAAATAAAGTCACATTCATAGGTATTCACAGGGGTTAAGACTTCAATTTATCTTTTAAGGGGACGTTCGACCCTTAACAATCATCAACCAACCTTGTTCACTAAAGTCATCGCATAAACCAGCAGCTCTGTGTCGACCCCATCTTTTTCCTCCAGGATTTCCATGATATTTGACCAGGGTTTGACTCCTAGGAGCAAAGCAATAGTCATTAGAAACAGCAAGTCAATGTTCCTTATCCAATTCATATCACATTTTATCCAAAGACTCATCACCCAGCGACGACACTGTCTTTCAGTCACCAAATTTCAAAGTGTAACACTATCTTTGGGTGGACTGGAACATGCTTCTCATTTGGCAATAAGAGACCACACCATTCTCGTTCACTTGAAAATGTATACTCTTTAATGTCAGGATGTCTATCCATTTGCTTCAAAGCTCCCTTTATATTAAATATGTGATTTGAAAAAATCCATTCACATGCAGCTTTTTAATCAGTGAACTTCACTCTCTGAGCATGGAAACTCTCGATAAATCCTCTCTGAATGTCCCTCAGCATGTTATGCTCTGACCTCCTGCAAGGAAAAGGGACAAGGGAGGACTTTACATTGACTCCAACAGTGGACTCCAAGAAGTAACCCTGAAACATCCATCTGGCAAACACTCTAAGAACACAAGTATATGACCTCTATTCAATCTAGACACAAATACCGTTTAAGCATCAACAGGGTGCAAAGAACAGGGTCTAGTGGGAGGCTGCCTTCAAGAGGTTTATAATCTAGTGGAACGCTTAGACATAAACTCAAGAACATATGCCAGCACAGACTAAAAGCACTTAAAAGGCAAAAGCTAAGCCTGTCACTCAGCAAGGGAGTTCTCTTGCAGTGCAGATGGTCAAGGAGAGTCTAAGGCGAGAAGTGGCTCTTCAATGGGGCTTTGCAGGTGAAGGTTCAGGGGTGGTTAGTCCCTGGCTCCAGGAGAGGGCAGGAAAACCCATCACATTCAAGACTGATAAGCCAAGGCCAAGGTCACAAAGGGAACACAAAATCCGGACACAATTTCCTATGCCTGAAACAAACATTTGAAGTGAAGTATTGCTTTACCCTTGGCTTGGTGGTAGGGAATGTGAAGCCTTTCCTGCTTTCTCTACACAGATCTCAAAGAGAAATTGCTTATTTTTGCTGATAAGAGTAAATTCTGATATAACAGAAAAGTAGTGGCTTCCAAATGCTCGTTCTTGGATGGGTTATGTCAGAGCTGATTTCCTGGCCTGGAGAACAAAACTCCCCAAAGGCAGCAGTGTTATCTGTCTTCTGTATCTGCTTTCAGCACAGTGCATAGCCCATAATAGGAGCTCAATAAAATGTCTGAATAGTAAACGAGGATCTCTGACAGGGCATGAACTATGTTAAGCTGGAGAAGTTTTAAAAACAACCAGAGGGCAAATGCATATAGTAAGAGAAGGAAAGAGGCAGGAGAATTTTTAAAAAAGAACAGGCACCTACTATATGATGTTAAAAATGCAGATAGTTTAATTTGGAGGTCTGCTGGCTCTCCTAGCTAGTGAACAGAAAGCCTCCTCCTTTGGCCAAATTGCCAGTCGGTCACTACTAGGCAAGCTTCTCTAACTCTTCCTAATTCCAAACACAAGACCATGATCTTTTGCCCATTAACTTCTGAAATATCTCCTTGCTGATTTTTTACTATCCAACTATTCTGAAGTCCTCACCTGCCCTTCAAAGTCCTCACCTGTCCAGCAAAGTAACAGTCTCTCTCCTGCCTTCATTAACAGTGAATCAATGTGGTCAGTAGGTCTTGGGTCGCACTGTCCAGGTAAAGTTCAAGCACTTCTAACGCTTCTGCTGTGTGTAGGACAAGTGCATCTTGTGTTATTCACACTCAGCACCCAACCTCAGCATAAAGCACAGGTTCTAAGCCACCTATGGTTAAAAGGAAGACCAGCATTGAAAAGAAACATCTCCATTGGCGCTAGTGGGCCCAGAACGGGCATCCTGGTAGCATATTTTGGAGCCAGAGAGGCCAAACAGGGCCTGGGGAAGGAAAGGCCAAGAAGCAAAGGCAGGCTTAGAGGGAAGAGGGAAGGAGGCAGATCATGCAGACATACCCATATGCACACCCTTTAGTCCTTTATAATGAAAATATTCAAACACTGACTTAATAGAAAAATGGGCTCTTCAGCTGTGACATCTTATTACCTTTTAAAGATTTCAAGTCTGGAAAGTTGCATGTATTCCTACACTATTGAGATGAGTGTTCATTCTCCTTTGATTGTTTTGGGACCAGAAAATAGGAAGGATTTAAAAGAAAGAAGGTAAAGGGGAGGAAACATTTTGGTGCAACAAAACAGCCTTGGCAGGGCTCAAGCTGACCCGTGTGAGGCCCCATCAGCTTCTGCTTCTCCAGGAGCCGCAGCTGCTGGAACTACACGGTCCAGGTCTACCCCTCCCCCCACCAACCTCTACTTGTGCCATTCAGAGTGTGTGTGCTTGTGTGGGTAGGGGTGGTCCTGTATTCGAACCATCGACTATATGATCCTACCCCTTCAAATGATAGAGAAAGAAACTGAGCCCCAAACTAGCGGAATGAACAGAGTCTCAAGAAATCCATCTAAATAGGAGTGTTCGTATCAACCTTGGAGAATTCCCAAGATGGAGCACTTTGTCTTTTTGTCTGAGCACTAATGAAGTCTATTAGAAGACAGTAATTTCCCTAATCTTTACCTTCTGTCTCTCTCCAGTTCCACCCTCAGACAACAGCTCTGTGAGTAGAGGCTCCACGAGAGCCCATTTTTCCTCTGATGTATCAAGTACATCATTGGCACTTAAATATTTATCAGATAAATGGATTTTATACACAGACACAGAATCTGTTACGTGACGCCAGTAGCTGTAACCGTCATGGTGATGGGTGGTGGTGGTGGTGACACCCACGCTTACCTACTGACCTCCTACATGGACTCCCAGGCAGGTCCCCTTTTCTGGCCAAACCACAGTGCTGCTCTCAACCCAGGAGAAGCCAGCCCACAAAGGATGACTCGACACTTTCTCCCCCTTACTTTCCTCTTAGGTCTCCAGGGTAACTTCTCCCTGACCAAAAAAGAGATTTAGCCCGATGCCTTCTAGAATTGGTCTACCACTCAATCAGAAGATCCTTGCAGCGTGTTCCATGCCTCTCTACATGCCTGACAAACACACATAACAGATACTTCCACTATAAATAACCATGGAAACCGAGTTTGAGTTTTGTCTACCATGCTTTGGGAGTTCTTCACAGATCAGTGTATCCTGGAGCAGAAGTCAGAGACAGGATTGCTTGAAAGGATGGCTGGATTTGTTTTCCCGGTTAATCACGTGTGGTACACACATTTGGGATTTATGTCATATCTCATTATACCACATTCAAATGAAAACAGAACTTCTTTAAGAGCAGTGCTGACCCAAATTAGGGGGACTCAAGACTTATAAGTGAAATTTCAAACTATGTTACCCTGTCTGGTCACTTGCCCCACCCTCTGAGAGGCAAACTCATCTAATCAGAGGTAAGGGCACCTTCCCAGGGCGGACAGAGGGCTCTCCACCAGTTTCCTGCCAACCCCACAGGGACAATCTCAATAAAAGAGAGTCTGTGATGGCAAAACGACAAAGACAGGCTCCTATACACACTCACTGCCTTTCTCTGTTCCTGCCACACCCTTCCACTAGGAAGGGACAGTGACCTGAAGATGCAAGAAAAGAGATGACCCAGCAGTTTGAGCAGATGGGTGTGATACCGTGCCACGTCCCAGACACTAGCACCAGCCCGCCTTTGCATTCCAGCCCTGGGACAAATGTGCCAACTGCCTGGCTCAAATGGGACATTTTTAATGTTCCTTAATTCATAACTATGTAGTAGTCCCTATGATGGACTACAACCCCTCAGCTCATACCCAGGCCCCACAGCCGGCCTACTCCTGGCCAAAGGGCAAAATCATCCACACTCACAGGATGAGCCCTACTGGTTAACCCATGTGCAGCAGGTGTGATCTTCATAAAGCAGCCCAAGGAATTTGTTCTGGACTCCATCTGCTGAAGATGGTAGTCATTGCTGAGGACTCATAGTTTAGGTGCTGGCTTTCTTTGCTGATTATTTAAATCTGACAGTTTTCATCGTCCAAAAGAATTCCTTTCTATTTACAAAAACTAAAATGCCAGCCTGCACTTCAGCAGGTCCATTCTCCACCCTACCCCACAGAGGGATGGCTCTAAAGCCACTTTGAGGAGTAAAATTTATGGCTTATTTATAAACCTGTGCACCAATGGACATGCTCGGTTGGTCCTCAGTCACCTCCGTCTAGCCCTTCACCCAGCCCAGAGGGAGAGAGAGAGCTGCTTCTAATCCTGTGAGGTGGAAACACACCTGGAAGTCATGGCTCCCTCTGCAGAGCATCCGGACATATTTATACGTTTTGTTCCATCACAGGGCTCAGGACCAATTTTACCAGCAGTAAAATAGGATGATGTTATATGTATGTGCTTTAGAATCATGGCCAAGACCACACATGTCCACAGAGAAACATGTTATTGAACCATGTGATATGGTATGTCTGAGTTTTTCCATTGGGGTTGCTTTTTTTTTTTTTTCAGCTGCTAGCGCTCAGTAGCAGACAGATGGCAGTAGCTGCCAAGAAGTTAAGAAATTTTATAGGCAGACCATCAAGTTGAGAAAACAATCCATTAGCTGCCTTTTTTTTTTTTTTTTTGTAACAAATTGAGAAAAGATGGCCATCATTCTCTCTCGGGGAAGACACTGAAGAAAAGAGAGGGACTCTGGCTGGGCTGGTAGATGGGGTCTTAGATGTGGGTACCAAGCTCTGGGTGACCTCAAGGACACTCCTCTATCCACACTCCACCCCCCCCCCCCAGTCTTCATGCAAAGTGAAGTCTAAGGAAGGAAATTTTAAGTTCCCAACTAAATGAAGCCAAAGGAGGACCCCCAAGACCATGAGAAGGCTTATCCTTTGAATATAGCCTCCATGAGGAGGGTCCATGGGTTACCTGAAATTTAGGACAGGATAACAATTTAACTGCCCCCAAAGTAATGCCCAGAGTTGGCAGATGGAGCACAACCCCTCCAAGGACCAATAAAAGGGTCCACCTCGCTGTCTTCCCACACACCCACCTTTGGCCCTAAACCTCATTAAATAGAAACACAAACCCTGGTTTCTGAGCCACTGGCTGTCTTCATTAAGGATTCTCAGCTGGCTCCATAAATCTGCTCTTGGCCGTAAGAGATTTAGAATCTGGCATGGGATGGAAGCATGCTGTGGTAGAAAGAAACACACAGGCCCACTCTGGTCTGGGATTCATCTTCCAGATTCATAGCCCTGTCTATGCACGAGGGCTTGTCTCTCTCACACAACCTGTGACCCACCAGGCCTGGGGCTAACATCTGCCTGGGCATTTGTGGGAAAGGAATGGGAGCTCAATTTATGGCCCTAGAGGGCTTTCATTAGCTGATATTCCGACTTCCAAAGAAACTAGTGAGCTGCTTTCTTTCATCTGTGGATTCCATAATGGAAGGTGAGTCTCTGAGCAACAGGGAGCCCAGAGACAGAAATGGTTTGAATCATGGAGTGCGATTTAGGCCCCTTGTTCCTTTTTGACGGTGGCAGCTCAGCTGATGTGTGCCTAAGTGTGCACAGAAACACATACATGGAACCGTAAGGAAACACACCAACATGTGAACAATTATTTCTGTCTGGTGAGATTAGAGGTGATTTGTTATCATCTCCTTTATATTTTCCACATTTTCTACAGAGAGCTTTACTGTTCTAATCATAAAAAGAAAAACAAATAAATGCTATGAAGTTTTTGATTTTGAGTCTTTGTGGGGATGATAATAGTATTAATAATGTCCTACTATAGAACCAACCCAAATATGTTTTTTTTATTTTTTTATTTTTTTTAAAATATTTTTATTTTATTTCCAGGAGAGAGAGAAAGACAGCGTGAGCAGGGGAGGGTCAGAGGGAGAGGGAGATACAGACTCTGAAATAGGCTCCAGGCTCTGAGCTGACAGTCAGCACAGAGCCTGATGCAGGGCTCGAACCCACGAACTGCGAGATCATGACCTAAGCGAAAGCCGGATGCTTAACCGACTAAGCCACCCAGGCGCCCCACCAAATATGTTTTTTAAAAGGACAAAACAAAAAGCCCCTAACATGTTAGCTTCAGGCTTCGTAATATTATTGAGGCCACAGCATGTTACATGCTAAACCCAATCCAAAGGCCTTCCATCACCGAGTACGTATGGAAGGCCTGCATGCTATGGAGCAGCTATGAGCTCAGAAACCAAGGGGAGAGCCAAAGACCCTGCCCTCAAGTAGGGCACACAGTCGTTGGAAACATCAGTGACAACAATACGGCAGAGAAGGGGGCATACGGGGCTCTGAGTGCCCATGATGGACCCGAGATAGGGAAGGGACAGTGCAGGCCAGGTGGGAGGTGGAGGGTAACAGGTGGACAGGGCCTGGGTGGTGAAGGGTCAGTTACAGGGTTTACACCTAATCCTGCAGGCAGGGGGAAGCCGCTGGCAGGGAAATATTAGGACCAAAGTTGTGTTTTAGAAGACTTTCCCAGTAGCAGAGGTGAGGGTAGTATTTCAGGGAGGTGAGGGATGCCAGGTGACAGATGGTGAGGGCCCCCACTAGAGGGACCTGGGATGGAGGGAAGGAGGGGAGAAGATTCAAGGAACAGCTAAGGGTCAGAGCCAATAAAGCAGGTGTGAGATGAGGAGGAGAAAGGAGCCAGGGGGACCTGGACAAGGGAGAAGTGGAGAAGGGGCTGGCTCTGTGTTCAGTGGACGGGGCTGGGGACAGCTGAAGTCACATGACTTCAGCTCAGGTCATGCTCTTGCAGTTTATGGGTTCAAATCCCATGTCAGGCTCTGTGCTGGCAGCTTAGAGCCTGGGGCCTGCTTCATATTCTGTCTCCTTCTCTCTCTGCCCCTCTCCCTCTCACTTTATGTCCCTCAAAAATGAATAAATGTTAAAAAAACTGTTTTAAAAAACAAGGTAAGTTCAGGGTCTGCCCTGTCTTGGGCAAGTTCATGGGTGCTTTTTTTTTTTTTTTTTTTTTTTGCCTCTGTTAAAGCACATTCCACCCCTAATCTTTGTATACTTACTATTCTAAAAATGATGTTTCCTCAAGTGGGGAGTCTGCACAATTGTTCACACTCAATTCTGTTTCGAACATGTTAAAAATGGAAGCCTGCCTACAGTGGGCATCTTTGCAACAGTGGGTGGGGACCACTTACCCCTTTTAGTGTCAACAGCGGTGACAGCCTGAATCAGAAGAGGGGCATTGGACTCTGAGTACTCCACAAAGACCAGCAGCAGCTTCAGGGCTGTCTTCACCACCAGGCGGAACTGTGCAGAAAAGAGAAAACCAACATGTCACTGCAGACGGTCTGCACACACCCAAAGGCACGCTGGCACCCAGTGCTTGCTCTGGCCGGGGGAACTCTTCCCTGAGCACACAGATGCCTTTGCTGGATACCTCAGAAACAGGAGTTAGTGTTATGCCCATTGCACAGATCAGGAAACTGAGGCACGGATTATCCTGCCTAACCCAGAAACAGAATCAGAATTTGAACCCAAAGCCTCTGGCTCCAGAGCCCATAGCCTGTGGTCTCTCAACAGTCAAGGTAGCACTTGCCAAGTCTGTTGCTTCACACTATCCAGACTGGAACACTGCAAGGTAGGAATGATCACAATGCTCATTTTTCTGGTAAGGAAGTGGACCCAGGAGGATAAAGGACTTGCCCAAAGCCATACCACCTAGCTGAGGCAACTGGGAATCTGAACCATCCTGCTGGGCCCAGGGCACAGCACTAGTGAGGAGCCACCATCAGCCTGGGAGGCCTTCCCTGTACAGGTCACAAGTCACCCACCCAGAGAAATTCCCAAACCTTCCAGCTGAAGATCAGCCAGCCCTGGGGGCTACCTGTGGCAGCCTGGGCTGGGGGAGGGGAGGGTCCATGTCACCTCCCTCCCAACCCCCTGGGGGCTGCTGCTGCAACTCATCATCTATAGTCCCCCTACCCTGAGCCTCGCTTCCTTCCAAGAACCTCCTCCTAAAGGAATTCACCCACCAACTCTCTCCTGGAAATGGGTTCAAATCACACATCTAAGAAACAAGGAGCCCATCTTGGGCTATCCCCACCCACTTGCTTGGCAGGGCCCCACCCTCAGAGAGTAATATTTTCAAGGGGAGGAGGGTTTATCTGCAGTGTTTCCAGAGGACCTGGAACTGCATTTGGCATTGGGTGGGCTCTGCAATGCTTGCTCAATGAATGAATGAATCAGTTAATGACCAGTAAATCCCTGACCCCTCCACTCTATCACCTTGGTTGTGCAGAATCAGCTTCAGGTCCTCCATTTGCAGCACAAGGAAGACCCAGGGTCGTCTGGGGGCAACAGCTCACATTAATATACTAGGGTCACATGTAGATCTTACAAGGAACTTGGAACATCCATCGTGCACTCCAGCACATGGTGTAAATTACCCTTCTTAGGATTGCCGGTGGCCTCCATGTTGTTAAATCTGATGGTTACTTCTCTGCTCATTTCAACCCCTAACGGCATATGACACAATTGCTCCCTCCAAGAACCATTTCCTCTCACCATGGCCAACCTCAGTCTCTCACCTGAGTGGCCGCTCCCTTGCTGGCTCCTTCTAGAGTGCTCAACCTCTAGGTGGGGGAAGGCTCAGAGTTCACTCCTGCATTCTTTCCTTTTCTTTCCATACACTCCCTCTAGGTGACCTCATCTAGTCTCTTGGTTTTAAATTCTGTCTATGACTTGATGCTAACTGTTGCACTCTAGTCCTGACCAAACTCCTGGGCTCTGGCATCGCTACTCATATGCTAACAAGCACCTCAAATTCAGGTGGCCAAAAGAGAGCCCTTGATCTCATGTAGGCTCATTCCATCCCACCTGCTCCCTCCACTCCCCACGTCAGCTCGAGGTGCCACCACCCACTGAGTGGCCAGTGCCGGTAACTTGGTACTTCTCTCACGCCATCCCCACAGCAGATCCACCCACCAGTGCTGTCAGATCTCCTCTTAAGAGCTTCCCTGAATCCATCTACCTCTCCATCACACTGTCCATCCTGGCCCACTGTAAGAGCCTCTTAAGTACTGCCAGAAGGCTCCCCAGCTTCCCCAATGTCCGAATGGATAAAATTTAGCTTCGGTGACCACCACACTCTCAACCCTCCTCCCCTGACCACCGAGCTCAGGATGGAATCCACTCCCACAGCCTTCATATCTCGGCCCACCCGTGACTCTCTTTCCTGCCCAGTGTGCTCCCTCCATCTACCTTTCTGCAGTCATGTGATGATGTGTTTTTAACATACTAAAGCTTGCTCATGCTTCTCAGGGGCTATTCATGAGGACTTCTCAGGGGCTATTTTCTGCCTGAAACCAGTCACCACAGAACTGGCCTTTCCTTAGACTTCAGGTCTGAAAAATTTCCCTTCATGGGATATGCCTTCCTAATCCCTTCATCTAAAGGGACTCCTTGGTCACTTTCCCATCAGTGCTTTATATTCTTCACATCCTTTACCATGACCTCAAATTGTTACATATGCACCTGACCTTCCTCTACTGCCCCCAACTAGGACATAAGCTACCTGGTAGCAGAGGTGTTTTAGTGACACACCAGAAACAGCCTCTGTCCCGGATTAGCTGATGGGTCAGGACTGCACTTGAGGCTTGTTCTTCAAATGCATCCCCCTTAGGTCACGAGGAGCACACACCTTGGCCCAAGCCTCCATCCTCCACACCAGCCTAGTTCTCCGCAATGTGGGTCTCAGACCAATGTGGGGGTGGGGGTCCACAATGGTCTGGATGAAAAGCATTGCCTTGGGCTTCCGTTCTCACCGTTATAGGCTTACCACACTGAACACTTAATTCTTTAGAGGCCTTTGAACTCTTTACAGGGTTTTTACTTTCATAACTTGAGTCCTCACATTCAGTCCTCTGCTCCTGGACTAGCAATGGACTGAATTCCAGAGTATTTTTTCTCAACCACAAAGCTGGGGGTAGAAGAGGAAGGCAAGGCCTAATGAACTGTGCTATCTTTGTATGTTTAGAGCTATAGACATTTCTTCAAGTAAATAAAACATCCTAGCAAGCCCAGGCCACTTCCTCAGTGGGCGGCCTATTATTAAGGAGATTAAGCCTTCTCAGTGCCTTCCTGGGCAAGATCCTGGCTCCCCTCGCCCCACTCCCATCCCACAGGAGCCCTCTCACATCCCTCTCATCAAGGTTCCTCCTGAGCATCTCTGTGGTCACAAGATCTTGGCCAACACAGTCCCAGGGACTCAGAACCCATTAGCTACTCTCCCCCATGAAGCCTATGTTAAAAAAAAACCCACTGTTTTCTAGCAAAGTCTTTTTTTTTTTTTTATTGGTCTCAACATGTCTATTCATGTCTGCTTCTCCTTTGCTATAAACGTTCTGTTTAGAGTTCTTTTGGCCTTGTATTTTTATTTAAAAAAAAAAAAAATCCCAAACTGTTCTGATTCATGATTTTAGGCTTCTATGAATTTGGCTTCTATTGAGCCTGAGTGTGTATTTACGTGTGTTTGGAAGTCTTACTATGTGAAATTAATACCAAACATGTTTGATAGTTAAACTACTTTAGAAAAAAAGCAGAATGTGAGTTTATGGAAACACACGGTACTAATCGCAAGCATGTCCTAACTAATCACCAAGTACGTCCGGCACGACTCCTCCCCAGAAATACCTTATTAGCATCACTGCAGAGACTTGAAAGTAATAAAAGCACATTACTTTAAAAGGTTTCTACATCAACCCTTATTTATCCAGAAATCATTTAATTTGATGCCCACAAGTATCTGGAATACAGTCAAAACCCTCCAGAGCTTTGGAACAGCCACAGTGGAGGCCACACACCCATCCGTCCAAGTCCAAACACGCTGCTCATCTCAAAGCTCTTAAAAACCCACTCCTGGCTCCACTGCACTTATCTTGGACACATTTTAATAGAAACGGTTACGGGAAAGGCCAGCCCATATCCACTGGGAAGGGAAAAACCACAGGACAGGGACAGGTAAGGAGAAGCGGGCCCAGCATGGCGGCAAGAGCAAGGACCACGAATGAGGAAGGTGGGAACAGGTGACACACACACCACACATGGCTCAGCCACTGACGGCCCCTCACAGGGACAAGGCGGTGTCCCTGCAACCTGAGCTACTGGATTTTAGCTCTGCCTGTTGCTCCTTTGTGTGCTGATGACATGTCCCAATGCAGTGACTTACAGCCTCCAGCACTTGTCCATCTGTCTAAGAATGAAGGAAAATCAGTAAGAATTGATTCTCCTTCTGAAGGTACACCAATCACATGAGAAGCTGAAGCAAGAAGCCCTGAAACAGTTAAATGAATACAGGGCAAAAGGGAGTCCATCTCAGAAGCAGCAGGTCAAAGACAAATGGGCAAGTTCCTTGCATCTGAGGATCAGAGGGGCCTGCTAAGGCTACCACAGAAGAAATTCAGAACCTGGATGGTGGCGGAATAGGCCGACCCCATTTAAGGTCCTCCCTGCCCCAAGATGCTGTGCTGCTTCCTTCGACAATGTTGAGTGATTTCCAGATGCCCAGCACCTGTGAGGATAGTTAGAAAGCCATGGCCCTGCCTTCAAGGAGATGGTCATCTCACTGCCGAGAGAAGACTCGGAATATGTCCATACCCACATGATTGGATCTTATCTGTGCTACAGGCCCTCAGAGCCAGGCTGCTGAGGACAGAGAGCACTTGCCAGGAGACAGCCCTTTACAGCGGGGAGGGAGAGTCAGAAGAACAGGCTCGGATCTGATCCAGCCGCCTGTGGGCTTCCGCGCAATGCAAGAGCTGTATGTCAGCCTTTGGGATCATGCTCCCACGAATAATCCCAGTTCCTTAGGGCTAGAGGAAACACACCGGGGGTCTAGATTCAGCCTTTGAGCTACACGTTGCCTACATTTTCTGTAATTACATGCTAGGGGAGCCTAGTATTCTATTTTAACACTGTCCATTATAATAAATTATGCTTCATATTGCTTTCAAACACGTAGCTAAATCATAGTATTTAACAGGACTCTAGACAACCCCTTTGTTACGAGGGCAGGAGAACAGGCAGCCAGCTGTGAACTGTGCTTCTCCTAAGTATTTAGCACACCTTGGGGGCAACTGGGCGGAGGTTTACTTTCAGCGACAATGATCATCTTGCACTCTGTTCTTACTCAGCATAAAATAGAGGCCATGAACCTTCAGGGGAACAGAGATGCCTTTTGACCCAGGGATGTAACATCTGTCAGGTCAAGCCTCTGTCTGGGGATCAAGCCTCCGGGGTCCATAAACATG